CATTACTAAGTGTCTGAGTGCAAGCCCTTTGGGAGTACCTTTATTTCCGAGGTGCCAAATCTAGCTACGGAGAAATTTCAGCCACACATCAATTAGTAATCAGAAGAGCCAAAACGACTGACGAACCTATTCTTTTGCCAATGAACGGAGCGAATTTAGAAGGGACATATGAAACCAAGAAAGACTTGAGAAATGATTGCGACATAAAAGAGTTTTTGAGACGTATGTCTCAACTCCAGGCACCGCCTTGGCCTCTGGCGACTAGCAGTAATATGAACAGCGCAGTCCAGTACCACAGTCAGCTCGAAACCCAACTGCGTTATCAAAAGTCTGGCCGTTTCTCCGATTGATCGGCCTCATTGGAGTGATACCAAAGACCCATATTCCTGCGAGTAAGCAAACTGGCAACCGTCACCATCATCGTCATCATGTACTTGCATTACAGAGATTCTAGCTGCCAAAGTTTCGTCCGCCGATGATTAGGAGAAATGTCACAGATAGCTCCGCACTGGAGGTAGTGGTGACAGATAATGCGTAAATACAGTGATACCAGCAGACTTTTCGTTGAGGAGATTTAGAGGATATAGCGTCGAAATCAACAACTTGAATGCGTGAATGCCAATGGGGAAGAGACTGAGTCGCATCCAACACTGCGGACGCTGTTTTCAACCACTGATGTGTCCCGTTTCGTGGTCCATATCCAAAAAATTAGTAAGGATTTGCGTAGCTGAGTTTGATGTTGGTTAATTTTATCATGTTTTGCCATGGCAACGGCGAAGTGGATAACAAATACGGGAGCGTGATAGGTTGGCAAACCGACAGATGCAGGTCGTACTAAGTTAGTGAATGCGTGGATGACCCTAAGTTGTGTGTCAGGCGTCTACCTAAACCCTAGTTTCTTCTATTAACTCTGCTGCTGTTTGAAAAATAGTGTCAGTTATTTGTGGAATTCCGCCGGGTTCAATCACTTTTTTCTCACGGCGGACCAATTTTTTGAGACTTGTCATAAGTATCACACCCAGGCACACCCTCGTTCTTCGTCCTTGAAGATCTAACAGTGACACCACACGTCTTTTGGTCGTGACGACGATCATTCTTGTGGTCACGTTTGTTAAATTCTCTTTTTACGCCTCAGATTGTCGCCCATTAACTTCAGATACTCAAACTAACATTAGTTGTATCCCAGCACTTTCCTGGCTGGGGATGCTTTTTCTGCACCAATAACTCGCTTTCCGACTCAGTTTGAGTATGTTTCTAAAAAACGGACAGAGCATATATGCAGCAAGTTTTCTGGCCAGATATACCACACAAAGGACCGTAATACGGTATTTTCGTCACACTGTTGCCGCATGTAGCGCATCAGCGGAAAATGCATATAAATTCTCTTGGTATAGAACCCCAAAAACGGTCGTTTGTCGTTAAAGAGCTGCGCACAGAACAAAAACATGCTCGTCAACGGCGACCTTATTACAGCATGAAACCATGGGATCGGAGACCTCGGAAGCGCCCTAGCCAGGCAATTAGGTAGCCGGTTTTCTCGTACTTTATCCATCATGCTCTTTACCTCCTTCTGTAGAAATTAAATACTTATCAGGCCTCTCAGTTTTGTTTCTGAATTTTTGCGCTCACACGGTCAATATTGTATTCTCAAGCTCCATCGGGTAGTTTGATCAATCTTTTTGCATGACCGGGTAAACTAGGCACCCTTACATCCTGCGTACAAGTTACCAAAATATTTATGCATAGCTGAGCGGAGATTTGCTCGAGAGATGTTTGTCGAAAGACGTTCACTGTAAATTTCGCTGCGCAATAAAAAGGATGAGGCATAACAATGGGATCTCCCTTTTGCATTTCAGATGTTTGGCTTAGGACAGTTTGTGTTGCAAGGGCAGAAGTAATAGCTCTTCGAGGTTAAGACGTGCACTTCTATTAGATATTCGCTCATTTTGAGCAACTGCTGCGTGGGAAGATCTTTCTCACATAATTGTTTTTATTCGGGATCTGGTTGGAATAGCTTCTAGATGCTATTCTATTTGTTCATTGCCCAAAGCTCTACTCACCACTCAACGTATAATATGAAATTCAGTCAGGGACATTAAAATGGACAACACTGGAATCTGAAACAAATTATGCAAACGATGTGTGAATTATCACTTTACGGAGGCAGTGACAATGGGATTAGTTTTTGGCGTCAACGAAAACAACAGCAGTAGCATTTTAATGGACACGAAAGTTAAAATATATCAAAAATAAACCGACCATCTTTGGTGCAAATACAATTCAAAAATGGAATCAGGTTCTGCAAAAAATTTGTATGCCTTAAATTCATGGTAGAACAGTGCGATGAGCGCAAAATCAACGTTTAATGCGTGCTGGTTAAGGAACCCCGTAATCAGGATTTATGTTTATTTGGTGAGAAACGCGGGCTTAAAATGAGGTTTAATTTGGTGGAATCGGTCAAAAATGCACCAACTATGCTTTTTAGTTACCACTGATATCTTTTATTTCAAATCAGTAATGGAAGCTTAAGCATAATAGGAGACTTGGAGTCCACAGAACACGCTGCCCATGGACCTTTAATGGGTGTGTCGCCAATGTCGTAGCACGTTCACTTTTCGTGTACCATGTAGTTCTTTATTTTCAATGGTTGGTCGCGATCTGGTAACTTGTAGGAAACCAAACTGCAGTGGTAGTTTGCAGTGCAGAGCCTGGGGTAACTTCCACCAAACCGTGCGTAATGATTCGGGTGACAAACACATCAAGGTGATGCATCCGCGGTTATTGCTTTTTTGCCGTCGGTGTGACCGCACTCAATCTGTGGCATTTGCTTTATCTGTTATCAAATCTCATGGTACGCGTCACATTCGGGGTCATATTTGATATGGCAGTCAAGGATAGGGTGACTTATACCGTAAAATAATGACGTGTTGAGACCTAATGTTAAGGCGGTTACTGAAACCACAATTCGAGCTATAGATAATGACAAGACAAGGTAGAAAAATGGAATATTTAATGTTTGGTACGAGTTTTATGGTGAACGACATAAACTACGCGTCCGTCTAAGAGTGTTGCTGTCGACTTCTTATGGATGCTCCGCCGCAAGCATAGAAGGCTACCACGGGAGTCCGAACCGATTGTGATATTGTGGCCTCGCTAAACAAGTGAAATATTGTGAAAGTCTTTACTGCCGTAAATACAAATTATTTGTCCCTTTGAATGCCAATCATGATCATGACTCACCCTGCGTTATGACAACCACCGAAGTGCAAGAATCTTCACCGTCTGTTCCTAGGACCATGTAGACGCTAAACCGCGGGCAGCTTCTATCAGATGCATTTCCAGGCTTCAGATTCCAATAATCCTTGTTTTATGTAGGATATTGCGAACATCTGGCACTGTATAAGGGGCATCTGAGTAAAAGTATTGAGGACAACCTCCTTCTTTCGTCCTGAGTAGGCATCCTAGTTGCATATTCAACATGCGGCCTGATGTGGGCGCACATCTGAAGTCTGGCCCGCAAATTACGGAGGAAAGGTTTCTGGGTGTAAGGAAGACCTTTCTGTATTCTGGCTCCCCTGTCAGAACTACCGACAACCGGTCACGTAGGGACCACTTAATCAACTGGGGACTAAAGCAGCCCGTGTCTTGCTGCGAGTCCCAAATTGAAACTGTCAAAATTGTTTCTTTAATACGCTCACCCCCCAATTCCCTGCCCTTATAAATGCCTAGCATGGTAGACTTTTGTAGGGATTTCACCTCAATGTTAGCTATCCACGTTAGTATCTTTAGGTAGACTTGCATCACGCGTGCATTGGTTTGTATAAGACAGTAAAAATTGGTCAAGTCCCATACACGGGGTATTGTTTGCGCATCAAAATATTTTCGTCAGCTTTGAAGGCCTCATCTGCATGTTGAGTGAACGTTTGAAATGACTACAGGCATTCTTCGCGCAGTTGTTGTGTAGCTCCTGAAAGTATACCAAAGCTTTTCAGCATTTCCCGCCTGTTTTTGCCTAATTTACGCCCATTTTTGACGCAGATGCTTGAGGAGTTCTGGGTATTGGTACTGTGGGCATTACCTCGAGCGTGAGAGATCCAGTTGATCTTCCATGATACAGTGTGCTGTGCTTATGCAGCGCCATCAGAATGAGGGTGTATTGATATCTTGGTTATTTATTCTCAATCGCGAAAACGAAATTAAAAATTACGATATTGGTTTTTCAATAGTTTCCTGCATGTGAAAGCTGGACAACGCATTACATCCAAAAGCGATATTTAATTCTTCACCAAAACTATGGAACAGACTGTGAGAAGCTGGGACAAACTTGCAACGATGATCTTGCATGTCCCCCGCTATTTGGTTTCTCCCGATGGTGGGTCCAAATGCACCAAATCAGCACAAAGTTTGGTGTCTACTCAGTAGGTTAGAAACTTTTGGATTTGCTGATGATGTTTCATTGTTTTTGGTGTGTTGACACGCCGGACAATGCGCCTGCAAACATTAACCTGTGGGTGAATCGGAATGAGGAATATTTAGTGACAACAACTGAATTTTCCATCAATGAATTATATCGCAACTAACAATTGGATTGCGCACGTACTCAACGTGCAACATAATCACGGCATTAAGTGAATATGTGCCTGCTATCCTCTGCCTGATTGAATGGTTGCGGGACCTGTGACCCTGAACCTCTATAAGCGTTATTCGGAGTAGTCTTGATTGGAAATCTCACTAACCTCTGATAATTCGTTGGATGCTGGAAGAACTTACTGCCTTATGCAAGTGAACTTCACTGACTGTTCCACTAAAAAAATAAAAGCAGATATTTTCATAAACTCTGTGTAACCTACTCCCGTATGATTAGCTTTCGCTGGCCATCTTCTTGCACTGTCCTGAAAACATTAACAAGAAATTTCTTTATGATGAACGATGAGGAATCACAAGTGTTCTAGAGTTGGCGTGAGTCGCCCGCGCACAATTCGAATTTTTTATGTATTCAGAGCGTGCTTCCGATTATGACACCAGGAAACGAACAACGCCGTGAGCCGAGAAGACTGACGTTTCTCTTGTCATTCGGACAAACCTTCACGGCCAACAAGCAGCTCTGGGTCAACGACGCCAATCCAACATGTGAAACTGCCCAAACGTAAGTCACGTGCAAGATTATCAGGCATTTACCGACCTCAGATGCAAAAATTCAACAATTTAGTTATAAGGAGATGAAAAGAGGAATTTTAACGACCATTTGACGACCATTTGTGTTTTGGTTGTGAAGTTTGCGGCTCACGTACCACGTAGTTTTGGTTTGGCTATAAGCATGCTAAACTAAACAGAATAAATCAGGTAATTTATCAAACGGTTAGCGTAGCAGAGAACAAACCTATTTAGTTGGCTACTTTATAGAATGCAGTGCTCAAGCAGCGCGGCTCTTAAGAAGCAATCTTCGGTGTCGAATCGTAGCTCTCTACTGAATAGTAGGTAACCAGAATAAAGGTATTTACTCGACAGTCTCGAAGCCACAAGAACCTGAAATTCCCTTCAAGGTAAGTCCAACGCCCGTTTATTGATAAGAATAGAATACAGACCGATTTCCACCGCTTCGGTGGCAGACAGAGGGCATGAAGTGGATGAAATCATCATCCAACCGGACTGTGGGCTAGCTGACAAAACACGAGATCAGCCAAAATAAAGGTAATCTCTTTACCAGGCCTGGATGTTATCTGTTAGATTTTCAGTACGGTATGGAGCGATGGTTCAATCAGTGCAGTTCGTGCAATCTGCAGTCCCACAAATCCCCAGCCATACTTCATTCTGACTGTAAACATATGACCATGCAAGACGGCATGCCACCCAAGAGCTGGGACTAAACGTTATCATTATTGAAAAAGTGGTGGATGATCTTCTGGTGAAGCTTGCCTCTCCGCGGTTTGGGTGCGTTCAAACCTGGTTTCGTTTTTTGCTCGTGCAAATTTGTTGGATAATACTAACGTTAAAACACAGGAACTCACTGGGTTTCGATAAAAGTTGGAATATCACCAACAAAAGACTTCCGGTGTCCAAGGGCCACGCGAAATATATAACGAGAATGCGCACCATAATTTTTTGGGTTCAAACTTTTTGGATTGTAGGATAATTTTAAATTAGGACCCCCAAGCGGTCTCAAATAGTAGCGGAAATCGCCTAACAACACCAAGGAAGCCCGAGTTTCTGGTTTTACTGCAGTTGTTCACACAAAAATTCGTCCATTTGCTCCTATTCTCGGTCGGGAGATAGGCACTGAAGTGCCAAAGTTTACTGGACGGCAGACGACGGTGGAAAATTTTGGTCCGGGAGCAGGGGGTGCCACTGAGCATGACTGAGGTGAGAATAAATTCGTGTGACTGTATGAATGTTTAAACTTGTACAATCAAAGACCACATCACTTTTCTGGTAACATTCCTGTAGCTGGTTCTGATTCACCATCTGGTTTTGTTTACGATTCCATGGTTTAAATTTTTGAGGCATTTTTGTGTGGAAAAGATTAATTGCCCGATACAGTTGATTCCGATTTGAGGCCCAATTATGCCCCAGATGGTACGCTCTTTACAAGCTGAGAAATAAAACTTCTCTTATTATAAATAGGAATGCACAGGTTTATGGAGGGCATGAAGGGCCTCAAAGATATAGCCAATGGAGGTCTGCAAATAGGGGTTCTTCCAAATGCATACTCATTTCCCTACTGAAAAATTTGATGCACGGGTGGATTCGCTCTAAAACCACACTGTCGGAACAGTCTTAAATGCCTCCTAAAAAGAGCCTCACATTTAATAGAACCTTCCCACTATCGCGGATACTGCTGAATGCGAGTTGCAATGGTACATTTGATTGCACTATTATTCGTTTTCAATGTTAAATGTAGGCTCTACTGAAGTTAGCTGTCCTTTTGAAGGGACTCTCTCACTGAGAGGACAACAGAAGGAAGTGACTCAGTAGTGTGCACACATATTGAGCCTAATAATCATCAAAATTCCGGCTCTCAGTTGGCCTGTAATGGTCTGGCGAAGAAAGAAAATTAATAAAGCTAGATTGAATATACAATAGCAAAAAGTTTAGATGAAGACTCACACAGAAGTGTTCTCTTTGAAATAGTTCGTCGTTGGCCTCGTTCAGCGAATAAATTTTGATCCAGTCATGGTTGCTCAGGAGCCTTCTTCTGAAAAATTCTCACATATAATAAATTCCGAAGATAGTCTGAAACATTTTGATACCAGAGTTAGCACATGAAACTCGCGAATGACCGCTTTAAGCGCGTGAGAAAGCGGAAGAGAGAGTCGAGGCACGTGGTCACGTTTGTAATGCATGTAATTGTGCAAATAGGCGCATTTATAATTATTCGCACTATATGCAGCGAGATCTGCCTTCAGGGATTTTCGCTTTATACTAATACTTGGGTCCAAGCCATCCAGGCGTGCAGGTTTCTATGTGTGTCCACTTATCCCACGCCGCGATCCGGCTGAAAACAGTTGTACGAGCCTGGGGCTCCGAACAGCTCCGGTGGAAGAACTATATAGGAGCATTGTCCAAAAAGTTGACGAAGCTGATGCAACGTTCGTCCCCAAAAAAACCAGCACGCACTCGAATGAGCCGCAGGATGCCAAAAAGGATTCGGCGATTTCGGGAACAAATAATAATAATAATATTTATTCCCAACTAGTGGGTAGCATACCGTCGGACATGACCATAGTATTACAGTCAGAATAAAGGCATGACTGGTGGGGTTTGTGATTAATGGGAAAAGGGAAAGTGACGTAAACAGTAAACATTAATGAAGTAGAGTTCATCACACCTGAGGTGGCATAGGTAGGAATCCAAAATTACGAGGTCATTTATGTCCTATGGAGAACATATCAGATGGCACGAGATCTGA